TTATTTTTATGTGATTGTGCGATTATTACTTTATTATATAAGGAAAATTTTAAATTTAAAAAAAAAAATCAAAAAGATTTTCTTATTTATTGTGTACTTGTGAGAGTTAGGTAGTTAACTGACAATAATGAATATATTTGGAATTATATGTTGATTTATGAACTGCGGATATGTTACATGCTTAGATTAATTGATTCTTATCCATGTAAAACTTGATACTATTTGTGCACTTGAATTGAGTTTAGCATTATAAAGTAATGAGTTGATTCATATGCTTGATATGTTGAGATAGTAAAACTTAAATGTTGAATTCAAAAAATTACTATATTATATATCCTTAGACCAAATTTAAAATAGTTTTGAGGTGATTGAACTGTTGTAAGAAGACATGGATATTATGGAGATTTCATGTGTAAATTCTTGTGTGGATTGTGTAAGACCAATAAGGTAAAAATCATAAGTTATGGGTCATTTTTTAGAATCAACTTTAATTAGGGGCATTGCACTAATCACGGCAAAAGAAAAAAATTATCTCATATTGAAACCTCTCTTTGCAGCCTTTACGATTCGAGTGATTAATTATGTAAGGGTATTTTAAAACTAGTGTCCTATGATTACCTGATTTGAAAGTTATCAGCTTAATGCTCGGTATATAGGTCATTTAGAAAGTTTAATGGAGAGAAATTTATACATAAGATAAGAAAAATGTTAGTAATAATAATTATTTATTTACATACTGATACATTAGTTAAGCATAAAATACTTGTTTGAGAGAATTAGAACATTAACAAGGGATTATTGGATTAGTTGAGTACTTGAGGTTGAAGCAATCAGAAATTTGAAGAATTCTTATTTATTTTAAGTATTTATTTACAATTAGCAAGATCAATCTAAACTAGAGAAAGTGAGAAGTTAGTACAAAAATTCAACCTTAGATCACACATTGGAAAAAGAATAAATTTGGGGATCCGTAAATCTCACGAGTGATAAAAAAAATAAATTTGATCATTGAGGGTCGAAAAGTGAAACAACTCGTGATATTATAATATTTTATTTAATTCTTCACGCACACATACATCATTTTTGCATTAGAAAAATAGATATTAATTTTGGTATTGTGATCTTGAAACTGTTTATAAATTTAATACGAAAATTCTAATCTTGAGAATTTTTTGACAGGTTATCTCACTAAGATTTTATTGTATGTTTGTTAAGTTAGGATATGATTTTGTTTAATGACAAACAAATGTTTAATTTTGGAGGTGTTTAATGAGTGTAATTTATACACTTATTCGAGCTT